AAAGTGAAAAGCAATTATAAAGATAAAAGGGTTATCTTAACACTCACTGGGCTTAATAGTCATTAGCATGACTATTACTATTATCCTCATTAGTAGTTGCATCATTACCATTAGTATATATATTGTTATTATTATTATATTGTTTTCAATTTCACTTCATTTACTTCATTTTAAGAAATTAATTAATTCATTTAACAACTAATTTGTATCTAACTATCTATCCATACACATATACATATGTGCGTAAGTATGCATAATAATAGAAAAATACATTTTTGGATTAACATACTCTGAAGCAACTCTACACAAAATTCCGTCACCGTTTCTCATTGTTCTCTCTCACTCATTCATTCATGGTCTCTCTCTTTTATTCTCTCCCTGTCTCTCTTAATCTCTCCTTCATTCATTTGCTCTCTTTTTCATCCTTTTTTCCTCTCAACTCATTTACATATTAATTCACCCTCCCTCTTTCTGTCTATCTTAGGCAAACCTTAGGCATAATTGACTTAGGTTGCTGATGTCGAATTATTTTTCTTCTTCTGATTCAGAATCATAGAATCGTTCGGTAATCCTACTTTCTTGACTCTCATCTTACTGTATTACTTCTTTGTCGTTTCCTGTACGACAAATTTGTTCGGAAAGTTGGGCAGACCTAGTGAAATATTAGTCGATTCCGTGCTAGACTCAATAGCCGTTTCGGACAGTCGCCGGGTGTGATGTCATCAAGGCTTCTCCTCTTCTGGAATTCGAAATCGGTTCTGTGAACAGGCACATCATTACATCTTGGTGAGACTAAGGAATTAAGTTCGGCTGAAATGAAGAGTGTGCTGATCATTCCCTTTCAATCCAGGGCTGAAACTGTATACTGTTTCTCATCCTTGCTTTAAATCACAAACGTACTATATCAGACACCACATACACTGGCTTACACCAGGCACACACGTACATGTATATCTATATACTGTATATATATATATATATATATATATATATATATATATATAGAGAGAGAGAGAGAGAGAGAGAGAGAGAGAGAGAGAGAGAGAGAGAGACAGACAGACAGAGGAGGAGGGTTGAGAAAGACAGAGAAAAACACCATTGCCAGCTTAATAATAAAACAAATGCAAATATAAGTCTTCATATAAACTTCTCGCTACGAAATTGAGGTTGAAATAACAGACAGTATTCACTGGTGATGACAATGTTTATTACACACTCTTATAAGCATTCTAAATAATTATTCTCAACTATACATAAGGCGCAGAAATAGAACTTTTGAAACGGACGGAGCAGGTATATTTTCCTCGTTAACATTGTGCGGTAGTATCGTACGCGCTTGCTGGATCTACGTCATATAAACACTGAGATGAAATGAGGATAGTGTGTACTACTCGTTTAACTCTCCTAATCCTTGTACAAAATGGTATACTATATCTCTATATAATCTAAAAAAAAATCAAAAACAAAAAGATCCATGAAGTCTGACTGATTTTTTATTCTAAATTATACAAACAAGTGGGAACAATCATCTACTGAGGACCAGGTAATAGTATGTATTTCTTAGCAATATCTTCCGTTCTACGTACGCCAGGTAGATGAACGGTTACTCTGTAAAGGAATTGCACTTTATTGTGGTCACAGACGTGTTGCTTTGAATTGTTGATATTTAACAGAAGATGATAATGATAATAATAATTAATGATAATAATGATAATGATAATAATAATGATAATAGTAATAACAATAATAATAATAATAGTAATAGTAATGATAATGATAATAACAACTGTAAATATAGTAGAAGTAGTAGTAGTAGTAATGATAATGATAATAATAATGATGATAATAATAATAGTTATAATAATATTAACAATAATAATAATGAAATAATAATGATAATGATAATAATAATAGTAGTAATAATAATAGCAATAATAATAATAATAATAATGATAATAATAATAATAATAATAAAAATAAACAATAATAATAATTATTGCAATAGCAAAAAATAATATGAATGATGATAACAAAATTAATAATAATAACGAAGATTCAAAAATCCTTATATGTAAATCTATAAATGTTTGTCGAATGGGGTTGCTTAATAAATGAAAGAATGTATGCAAAATAATGTTTTTAAAAGTTTGCAGACTAACAATGTTAAAACGTGAAGATCAATAACTAAAAATAATAAACTTTACACATTAATAACCTTATCATTAGTGATCTCTGAATATACATATGTATATTTACAATAGTCCTTCCATAATTTAAACTTTCTTTACAATTTATACCTCTCCAATGAAAAAGAAAGACAAACAAACTACACAATATAAATATCGAATAAATGGCAAATCGGGAAGCATCTTTCTCATACCTTGCTTAATATGCCTTCATTTACGAAGGACTCAATAACACAAAAAAGCAGACAGACAGACAGACGAGTTATAATGACAAAAAAAAAAAAAAGAATATATAATAGTTCCCCCCCACAAAACTTTGACAACCTCTGTATCTCTAGTATACAGAAAACGTCAATTTATTTACACTTAAGCTGATGCAGTTCTAAATTTCAGGAAACATAATGAAATGGGATTCATAATTTCCATAGAAATTAAAATGTACAGAGTGAATACAATGATTTATCTGGCAAGCTTCCAATCTCTATTCCTATGGCTGTTGGTGTCGTCTTTATAACAAGTATAAGGTTTACAGCCTGAAAAAATAGAACGCTCACGAGAAGAAGGTTTACAGTCTTAATAGACTCCGGTCTAGAATAACTGCAGCCTGTCTCTCAGCTTTGTGTATTTTTTCATAAATCATGTAAAATGTATATATATATGTGTGTGTGTGTGTGTGTGTGTGTGTGTGTGTGTGTGTGTGTGTGTGTACGTGTGCGTGTGCGTGTGCGTGTGCGTGTGTGTGTGTGTGTTTGTTTTGTGGTTATACATATGTATGTATGCATATATGTACTTATGGTTTCTACATATATGTATATAATTTATTGATAACCTCACATTTCTTCATATCGTAAACTAATTCTTATGCTGTGGCCATATAGAAAGTATGATCGCATGATATTACATCACATTATACCAAAAAAAAAATAAATAAATAAATAAAAAATAAATAATAAATAAATAAAAATAAAAAATACGTGTGTGTTTCTACCTGAGTACATATAGTAGATGATCATAATTCAGTTTTAGAATAGAAAAAAAAAATCACAATGAATAAAAAGCAGTGAGAAATTTCACAACAGAACAAAATGAGATCTATTCAGAAATTTAAAATCAATAACTTTATGTCAAAGGCAACGAAACAAAACCAAAAAGATGAACCAATAAAAAAAACATACTTTGGACGGCACTTATCACAGGCTGGTAAATATATATTTTAATAAGATCTTTTAACACGAAGAACTCTTTGCTTAAAATAAATATTTCATATATCTTATTAACGCCAACTAACCATATATATCATTATAATATGTAATGGCAAACCCCGCATACTAAGAAAATAAATAGAATGATCATGTATACAAGTGCGTTTACCTATCATGAAAATAAATATATATATCAAAATAACTTTAGAATACAGAAGGGGTAATATTCTCACGTAATCCACCATTAATTTCCTATTTCAAATAACTCTGATATGTGAATACATATATACAAGTATATACTCAATTCTAGTTTAACAGAAACGTCAATAACAATTTATTTGCTCGTCATAATTCAATACATATCCACTGATCTAAACGATAATTATATATTTTCAACATTCAAACTGAAAATAGTAAACTAGTCGTGAACAAAGTCTTCATCACAACTGAAATACCGCGTGAAGTCTCTGAATTCGAGGCACTAAAATGGACGTTATTTTGTTCACCTTTCTTGTGCAACTTTGGTTGGCTTAAACGCCGGCTTGGGTTAAAAGTCATGTGAGTTTAGCAAGGAGAGTTATATGTCCTTTTCCAAGGCTTTTTCTACACTCTTGTTCACGTGACCTATCCAAATCATATATGTTTGTTTGCTGGTTTCTCTTTTTCAGAAAAAAATCTCAGCTACTTTAAACACCACAAAAATCGTTTTTGAAATCACGCGTCACGTGGTCTCTCAAAACACGTTTTCACGGAGAGAAAAAAAGGCTTCGACCACCACAAAAATCGTTTTCGAAACCACAAATCACGTGACCAAATTCAATATTTTTTTTCTTTGAAAAAAACTCCACCGCCAAAAACATTTTCGAATCGACCCTCCGTAATATTCCAATGTACAATACAAATATCAATGAGCTATGGAATATGAAAGTTTCATGAGGAACTGATTCCCTTCGTGTGGGAATTAAACCACGAGAATTCCGCTCCCGGAAAATACGATGATAATTTGTGAAAATGCCGAATGTAGGCCTACGGACTGCGCCGCTACTACATGGTCCGTGTGTAGCGCGATCCCACGGAGAACTTGGAGCGAGCCGACTCCCGTATGGTTCGACCCTGTGAATGAAAGAAGTTTGCATGGCATAAATAATAACAAAAAGATTAATAAATGCACTACACCACCACTAAATGAAAGAAATAAGTATTAAAAAGTCTTCCTGTGTGACATCTCTAGTCTTGAGATTGCGAAATAACGGCTAACATTCTTAAGGTTCAAAATCTTGATATTTCAATTTAATAGTTAGTTTTGTCATTGAGTTAAATAATTTTGCAAAAGGTCAGACTTCTTGAATTCTATCTTGAATGAAGAATTATTCACACAAGCAGGAATATAATTTATATGCAGATTTTCAGAATTTGTTAATGAATAATATGTAGACGCACAACAGACAAATCTCGAATAATATTTCAGGTCTTGTAAAGCTAATAGCAAAGAAAAATGTTTTTTAATGTGCTTCCAGATACAGTCTCGGTCAAAAATCCCTGTAGCTTATGAGTATATTAATATACAATTGAAATAAGTTCTTGATTATTTTCTTTTTCTTTCTTTTTCTGTTGGCAGCTGTTCCCTATGGAAAATAACTGCTTGACGGCCTCACACATAAATATCTGAATGAAATCTGTTATGTATTGATTATTTTCCTTATATTTATAGCATTAGCCACATATATCATAATAGCAATAATCCAAACACTAACAATGTTCAGCGATTTTGCAAAGTCCTTGTGTGGGATCAAACTCTCATCTCATAATAGAGGTTCTAGCTGCTTTTAAAATCCTAACATGATCTTCGAAAAAGAGGCGGGATATTGTATCTATCTCGATTAATCTCGCCTTTGCTGATTGGTTCCTTACCTCGCTGGATAAGTTGTCGAGGAACTTTTGTATGTTTCTTAAGTCATTATGGGACACGTATTTCTTCAGTGCTGCGTCGAAGCTCCCCTGCTGCGACAACTGCTGGAAGATGTGTTTTGCATATTTCCTGCAGGAGATAATACAGATTCGATTACATGCTTATCGATTATTCCGCGAATACTTCACAAATTTAATTTCCGATGGATATAGCCTAAAATGCCTGTCAATACAAACTCTATTACAAAATACCAAAAGCATCACAACCAAAAAGGCTCGTTTCTAACCAAAATGCCATTACCACAAAACTAAAAAAAAAAAAAAAAATTACTAAGCTTAAAAATAATTCAAAACCTAAGAAAAAATATACCATTAACACCTCCATTTTACCCTCATACACACAAAAAAAGAAGAAAGAAAGAAAGAAAACATCTCACCAAAATAGTACCCGACCACCTCGTTCCTAGAGTGAACAGCACATTCCCAACAACACTAAACCACCTTCTCCCCAAAGCACCAATACCACGAAAATACCTCGTTTCTAAGCTCCCTTCCTGCGCGAGCTTAGCAGCAGCAGGCAGCAGGCGGTCCGTGATGTCCTTCTGCCCCGAGAGAACCTTACTAGCCCCAAGTCGCTCCACTTCGTACGTCAGGAGGCGAGCCACTGTGGTTCTCACGGTCGGGTTCTTGTGACTGCGGAAACGGGGGGTCTTGTTAGGTGCATATTTCTGTTTGCTTGTGCATTTACTGATTTATTTATTTACTTAAAGGGTGGTCTGTTATATTTTTCGTTTATTTATTTACTGACTGATTCGTCAATTTTGCGGAACATCCTTTGGTTATATTTTTCCTAATCTATTTACTGATTTGATTTACATAAAGGGGGTTCTGTTGTATATCATAGCTTACTTATTTACTAATTGTTTTATCTACAGGGGGGTTAATTACATTCTATTTATTAACTGTTTGTTTTATGTAATGGGGGTACTATTATGCATTGTTACACATACACAAAATCACGCCCCCCAAAAAACAGTAATAATACTAATAAATTTTTAAAAATCCACTTACTTTAGTCCCTCCTGCACAATCGCCGGGATGGCTTTGTTAGGGCTCACGTTTTCTACGAGCGCATCAAGCCCGTGGTTGCTGTCCAGTTGCAGGAACTTGTTGGTGTCAGACGTTTTGTGCAACAGCAGACTGGTGATCTTCTCCACGTCCTGTTGGTTGTATGTTTTGTATTAGAGGTGAGAGGGAGAGAGGGTGAGAGGGAGAGAGGAAGAGAGAGGGGAGACAGGGAAAGGGTGAGAAAGGGAGAGAGGGAAAGGGTGAGAGAGGGAGAGAGGGAAAGGGTGAGAGAGGGAGAGGGAGAGAGGAGAGGGGGAGAGGGAGGGAGGGGGAGAGGGAGGGAGGGAGGGAGGGAGGGAGGGGAGAGAGAGAGAGGGAGGGAGGAGAGGGAGAGAGAGGAGAGAGAGAGGAGAGAGAGGAGAGAGAGAGAGAGAGAGAGAGAGAGAGGGAGAGAGAGGGAGAGAGAGAGAGGGAGAGAGAGAGAGGGAGAGAGAGAGAGAGAGAGAGAGAGAGAGAGAGAGAGAGAGAGAGAGAGAGTGAGAGAGAGAGAGAGAGAGGGAGAGGGAGAGGGAGAGAGAGAGAGAGGGAGAGAGAGGGGGGGTGGAGAGGGGAGAGAGAGAGAAAGAGAGAATCATAATAACATTTTTATCATAAAAAACAACAATAGGAACAACTTGCCGGCTCCATATTTCTCTTCATAACATCGAAGAGAAGAGTGAAGGCCTGGATGCTTGCGCGGGAGACTTGAGATCGCAAGTTTTTGGCTTGCTTCAGGAGACTCATGTTGATCTGATGCAAGTCGCTCTGCAGCACCTCGGGATGATGCTCTGCCAGCCGTACGATGTCTTGGATTCCTTCAACCTGACTCTCCCTAGGGATTTGCAAGGTGTGAGATGTTTAGGTGATGTTGTTATTATTATCTTCGATATAAACGCTATATGTTTATATATGTAGATTTTTTTTGTGAATATTTAGTGTATATAACATTTGTATAATATCCTCACGTATATATATGTGTGTGTGTGTGTGTGTGTGTGTGTGTATGTGTGTGTGTGTGTGTGTGTGTAATGTAACGGTAAGTTTTGTGTTTTTGTTTTACTGTTGTTGGATATTTACTCGTCTGTGCATCACTCCCTCTATACATCAGTCTTTCTATAATAAATATCCACATTAGTCTACATATCTATCCGACAATCAATATGTAGCTATCCTGGAACTAACTGTGAAAAAAAAAATCCCATCAATTAAAGGCAAGAAGAGCAAACTCACCAGTCTCCGGAGTTGACCAGCTGGTGAGCTCGCTTTAGAGCTTCTTGCGGGTTTGCGAAGGGTTCTAAGTGAGCTTTGAAGCAAGACGAAGCTGGCTTGGCTGTGCGGAGGCCCACAGAAGACATGGTAGAAGACATATCGTCGACGGATCTGCTGATGACGACACTTTCTTTAGTAATCAGTATAAAAGTCACAGGAAAAGTCGCGTTAATGGTATTCAATATTAGAGAACAAAACAGTGAAAAAATATTTTGTCGGTCTTATTCGGGTAAAGAAAAAATAAAACATGTGAGAGTCGTGTCACTAGTATTTATTACATTTGCTAAAATCACACGAAAAAAGTGCATATAAATTAAAGCAAAACCATTTAGATATGAAATTCATACGGCGACAAAATCCGTCCTCTATTCGAATCCATCAACAACGAAAATATAAAACCGTCTTTCAAGTTACCATAAAAGCAATTAAATCAAACAACTTTTGCCTCTATATTTCTATCTCGCTCCATTCTAGAACTAAAATAACAACAATGGATGCTTGTGCTTAATATTCCATATATATTTGATAATCCTTATTGTTATTGCTGTAAGCCTGATTTCGTCGAACAGTCGTGAGCTTTCTTTTTTTTTTTCTTTGTATCCTGTAAAACACCCAAAAAAGGGAGCATATTAGATTCGGAAAGTGCACTCCAAACCATGCAGTCAGCGCTAAAATAATTTTTTTTTCAAGAAGGCACAGAGAAATCCCACATTTCGAAGGAAGAATTTTGAATAGGGAAAAGAATAAATACATGAATATTTAATAATAAATATAAAGTGAAACACAGAACAAATCCCAGAAGTAAACTCAGCGGCAAACTCGCATGTAGAAATCCACGACACTCAGTGAAGGAAAAGTATTTGCGACAAACATAGCAAATAATGACAGGGACATTTAACACTCGAAAAGAAAGTTTGAAATCTGATGTAAAATATTGTAAACAACGAAATCCTTTCACAGAACACCATGCATAAACACATGAAAACCCTCTCAAGAGTAGACAAATGAATAAATAATTGAATAAAGATGAAAAAAATAAAAATAGATAAATAAATTAACAAACAGATAAATATATAAACAAACAGATACAGAAATTAGTAAACAAATAAATAGATAGACGAATATATAGACATAAATACATAGATAACAAATAATATAAAAAAAACTCTAATCAAATAAAAAGAACAAAATTAAAAGAAACACAGCTTCGGCAACCCTCAGGAACACCCACTGAACTAGCCTTGTCGATTCTGTGCTAAATTGAGCCGCTAAATGGTGTTTGAGTCGAGGCCGCTGGGAACCGACAGGACTCGGTTTATCTGAAGGAACAGGTTTGCGCGCTTTGTAACCCGGTGGGACGTTAACGCTGGACGCCTCCGGTACCTCGGCCTTGGTAACGACTCTTCGGTGGGCGAGATAACGTAATGTAATGGTAATGTCCAGTTATTTTCATCGTGAGAGAGATACTTACTGAGTATATAGGCCTATACTTAGAAACAGAAATTCCAAGTGGGCGGAAATACTTGAACGAAGTATGGGATAAGAAAGAGAAATGCAGAAGTGTATGTACAGCCTTTATCATTACTCCAACGCTCTAATATATACAAAATTCTTCTTGGAACCAAAAAGATAATCGTCGACCTACCGAACCGGCGGCCGACGTGGGGTGCGACGTGTGGTGCCGAAACTATTGCTGAGGCTGCTCCCGGAGTTCACAGGCGGCTGGCCCCGACGGACGAGTTGGGGCGTCCTGGTGCCGAGGGAGACACACGAGGGGCGAATTAGACTTGGAGGTGTGAAGATGGGTGAGTTGAAATGTGACTGAGAGGAAGGCTGGAATATCAGTCAGAAGCATAACTACAGGCATAACTAGTGGGTGACGAATAAAGACAGAGACGGGAGTTAGAGAGAGGATGTTAGCGCGCGTGCTCGCGCTAAGAGAAAGAGAGAGAGAGAGAGAGAGAGAGAGAGAGAGAGAGAGAGAGAGAGAGAGAGAGAGAGAGAGAGAAAGAGAGAAGAGAGAAGAGAGAGAGAGAACAGATGTTGAACAAAAGTAGTCCCTGCGTAACAATATCCCTCTTCCTCGCACCTGTAGGCATTGCTGGCGACCCCGTTGCTCTGCGGCGCGACTCTCTCGAGGGAGCGGTGGCGCTTCTCGGCAAGCGCCTCCCTGCCCTGCGTCCGGTTGAGGCTGCCGGTGTGGCTCTTGGACTTGGGCATCCGGGAGGTGTGGCGAGGACTCGGCTCGGGGCTGTGGCGGGGACTGGGGCGGGGACTGGGGCGGGGGCTGGGACGAGGGCTGGGGCGGGGGCTGGGGCGGGGGCTTCTCTTCCCCTTGTAGCTGAGGTTGGGGCGGACGGCTGAGGGGCAGGAGGTGGGGGGAGGGAGGAAGGGCGGGGGGAGGAAGAGAGGGATTAAAAAGGCGAATCGGATGGGGATTTTGGTTAGAGGTGTGTTTCATGACACAAGAGAGGAACAGTGCTTAAGTTGTACGATGTCATCAGATATTTGTCAAGTAGGAATTTCATCATTCTTCTTTCTCATTTGCTAATTTAGAACTTCAAAGATGGTTTCCACTCATAAACTACGCACTCTTATATATAAAAAAAAACAAAATCAAACAATTAACACAAACAATTTCCTCTCAGACAAGACACACACCTGTACCATTCATTTCAACCTTACGAAAACACCTCACATCTGCACCATTATGTACCTTCCACTGACCTACATTTCACAAGCATTTCCCCTTTCTTTCCCCTTTCCCCTTCCCCTCGTAAACGGCCATTCAGTGTTCAATAATAAATAAGGAACAAAGAGGCACCAATAAGGACGTACACTTTTAACGCGGGTATCGATCACACACACAATTTACGACCGAGAAACAGGATATGGCTCGTGTGTGTTCACTTGCTCTTGGCAGTTATCGATTACTCGCGCCCGCTTAATTTTTTCATTCATTTATTTTTTTTTTTTCTTTTTCCTGTTATCTGTTTTGTGTAGTTGTTTACTCTTCAAGGAATGGATGATAAGCCTTGGATACTATTTTTTTTTATTTAGTGAGTGAAGGGGAGGCTATTCTTTACTGCTAATGTTTTGGAGATTAAGAATAGGCAACAAATTATATTGAAAGCCTGTAGATATAAAGACTGACATTGAGCGACGGAGCGAAGGAGCAGCGCAAATACTAGAGCGAACACCAAAGACATAGTACAAGGCCCGGCACCCATTTTCAAGGCCCTTCACTCGCCGAGGCAGCTATGGCCGAGGCTGCCGCGAGGGGGGGAGGCGTGGCGGCGACAGGCCCCCAACTGGGTCATCGCCACAGGACAGATCGTCATATATATATATATATATATATATATATATATATATATATATATATATATATATATATATATATATATATATATATATTTATATATATATATGTGTATATTCATCTATGTACATATATAACTACACATAGACAAATATATATATATATATGTATATATATATATATATATATATATATATATATATATATATATATATATATATATATGTATATATATATATATATATATATATATATATATATATATATATATATATATATATATATATATATATATATATGCATGTGTGTGTGTATATACATGCATACATATATACATACATACATACATCTATATATATGTGTGTGTGTGTGTGTGTGTGTGTGTGTGTGTGTGTGTGTGTGTGTGTGTGTGTGTGTGTGTGTGTGTGTGTGTGTGTGTGTATATATATATATATATATATATATATATATATATATATATATATACATATATGCAAATATACATATATACACACAATTGTGTATGTATGTGTGTTTTTGTGTGTGTGCAAGAACGTGTTTGTATGCATATGTATGTGTATATCTATGTCTATATTTCTTTTTTTTCTATATTTACATACATCTATCCGTTTACCTATAGATCTGTCCCTCTATTTTCATATGTATGAGATGTGCCTATATATATGCCTAAATCCACATCGAAGAATAAACCATTCTCTATATCAACCTACAGAACACATACGTCTGCATTTATGTCTGTTTACACCCCTAAATGTGTATACAAAGTGTGAGAAGCACGGGCATGGTAAGTAACTATAAAGATTGACACTATAACGCAGTCAATATTTGCAATTCAATACGAGACACCAGACAGTTAAATGATTTTTTTTTCGCTTGGACAATTTAGATGTCTTAAAATAACACGATGAACAACCTTTCGCCGTGTTCATGCTAGATTAGGAACTGTTGACTTAGGATGCTTTGTTGTTCACTGGCACTACCCACACTTAAAGGGCTGTGGGGCGGGGCTAGTGGCGATGACGTCATAGAGGGTTCATGACGTCATCAGTGGCAAAGGTTATTAAGGACAGGGATATTTTAGTCCATTTGTAAGCTGTAGCATGAGACTGGCAAGATATAGCAAAATACAGTCTATTTATTTGACTCAAACACGTGCCTCACACACACACACACACACACACACACACACACACACACACACACACACACCACACACACACACACACTCCCCAAACGCCCGCAAACACACACACACTCCCCAAACGCCCACAAACACACACACACTCCCCAAACGCTCACAAACACTCACCAAGCTCCGCATCGCCACTGCTCGCCCTCGACGGCTGCAGAGAATTCCCACTGTGCTGCAACTCGAGCTCCCGGTACTTCCTCGTCCTCTCCTCCTGCGTCCTCTTGGTGTCCCTCTCAGCGCGGCGCCTGTCGATCTCCCGCTGGTTTTCCCGCTTCTTCTTCAGGAGTTTCATC